GCGGGTGGCGCGAGGGGGGCGGCCCCCCCCCCCCCCCACGCGCCCCGTCTACCTGTGGATCTCTGTCCTCTGGATGTAGCTTTCTGAGCTATCTCACAACTTTCTTTCCCATGAAAGACCCGACTTTCCCATGAGCCCTCAAATCTCCCAAGTCTGAAGTTGAATTCTGAGTGTGCTATCTGCAGGTGGCTTCCTTTGCACACTTGCAAACACTTATATTATGTACACTCATGTATTTGTGCACACACAAACACACAGAGGAACACGGCTGTGTGCCCACTGCCAGCAACAGTGCAGTCTCCTCAAGGCACCGCTACACCGGGTGCTGCTCAGGGCATTCTCAGCTCCCTCAGCCCCTGGCTCTGATATGCTCCTCTGATACGTCTCGGGACAATGTGCTAGGGGAGAGGTTGCCACCCCTAGCTTCAGCCCTCTCCCTCAAAGTAAAAAAAAAAAAATAAAAAAATAAACCAATGGCAGCCAACTATTTTTTTAAGACAGGGCTTCACTACATAGTCCCATTTGATCCTGAACTCATGGTCATCAGCCTCTTGAAGGCCTGGGATTACATGTGTGTATCATCATGCCCAGCTTCTGCTTGTGGTTATTTTTGATACAAAGTCTTGCTATATAACCGAGGCTAGCCTCAAACTTCCAATCCTCCTGCCTCAGCTTTCCAAGTGCTAGAATTACAGGAGTGTGTCACCAAGTTTAGCTAACAACCAACTTACTATTTTTTTTTTATTTATTACTATTAGTTTTAGTGTGTGTGTGTGTGTGTGTGTGTGTGTGTGTGTGTGTGTGTATGCAGAAGTCAGAAGACAACTTTCAGGACTTAGCCCACTGTAAGTTCCAGGCACTGAACTCAGGTTGTTGAACTTGTGCCTTAAATATTTTTATTCAGCATCTTGCTCACCAGCCTGGACCTGATGGACCTACCACCTCTCTGGCCAAGTAGGTCATCCAACCACAGTTTCAGGTTGAGACTTCATCTGGACATCATTTACTTGGTCACACAGGCCAACCCAGAGGAAGAACTGGGCAAAATGGTGATTGGAGCTGGGCTATGGGTGACCGTAGCTGGCCATGCCAGCACTTCACCAGATCACACTAAGTGTTTTGGATAGGGTCAAGAATTCAGCTGCCTAAGAATCCAACATGCAAGGCCACCAGTCTAATCACCTCTACAGGCCCTAGCCTCCTTGCCTGCCAACCCAGGACTCAGATGGGAATCAGGGTTGAAAGTTATCAGCTAAAGCTGGGCGGTGGTGACACATTCCTTTAATCCAATCCCAGCACTTGGAAGGCAGAGGTAGGCAGATCTCTGTGAGTTTGAGGCCAGCTTGGACTACATAGTGAGTTCCAGGACAGCCAAGGCAACACAGAGAAACCCTGTCTTGGAAAAAAGAAAGAAAAGGAAGGAAGGAAAAAAGGAAGAAAGAAAGAGAAAGGAAGTTAGCAGCTATAGGCTGCTGAGGTTGGGGAAGGGAACCAAACACATTATTGTTTACTTTATTGTTGTTATTTTTTAAGTTTTTATTTACATATTTTATGAGCATTTTGCCTAGATTTATGTATGTGTAGCACGTGTGTGCCTGGTACCCATGGAGGTCGGAAGAAGGTGTCTGATCCTGTGGAACTGAAGTTACAGATGGTTGTGAACCACTACTTTGATGCTAGGAACTGAATCTCAGTCTTTGGCAAAGGCAATGAGTGCTCATAACTGCTGAACCATCACTCCAGACACTTATTCACATTTTTAAGCCAGAATATTTGGACAGGTGAGATAACTCAGAGGGTAAAGGTACTTCCCACCAAACTTGATTACCTGAGTTCAATCTCTGGGATCCATATGGTCAAAGTTGTTCTCTGATTCTGTTCTCAAAAACACACACACACACACACACACACACACACACACACACACACACACACACACTAAATGTAAATTTAGAAACAGACCAGAATTATTTTATTTATTTGTTTGTGGTGTCTTTAGACCAGGGCACACGTAGCCCAGACTGGCTTCCAACTCACTATTTAGCCAAGAATGACCCTGAACTCTTCTTTCTCCCACCTCTTCCTCCCAAGGCTTCATTTTTAAATGTGGAGACAAGTCAATATATATATATATATAGTTCAGGCTGGCTTCAAACCGGAACTCTTCCAGTCTCAGACTTCTCAAGTGCTGAGGCTATAGGCATATCCCATCATGCCAACATACACCAGGAATTTTTTTTTTTTTTCCAGACAGGGTTTCTCTGTGTTGCCTTGGCTGCCCTGGAACTCACTATGTAGTCTAAGCTGGCCTCAAACTCACAGAGATCCACCTGCTTTTGCCTCCTGAGTGCTGGGATTAAAGGTGTGTGCCACCAATGTCTGGCCAACACCAGGAATTTTACGTAAGATGTAATTTGGGTCCGGAGAGATGGTTCAGTTGAAAGCACCGGCTGCTCTTCCAGAGGACCTAGCTTTGATTCCCAGAACCCACATGGCCGCTCACAACTGCCTGTAACACCAGCACCAGCATGTCTGATGCCCTCTTCTGGCACCCATGAGTACTGCATGCACATGCACAAACAGCCACAAAGACACAGAGAGGTTTCTGTTGTTGTTCTGTTTAAAAAAAGAACTAGGGTGGTGGCACACACTTTTAATTCCAACACCCAGAAGGTAGAGGCAGGCAGATCTCTGTGAGTTCGAGGCCAGCCTGGTCTACAGAGAGAGCTCCAGGACAGTCAGGGCAATTACACAGAGAAACCCTGTTTCGGAAAGCAAAAAAAAAAAAAAAAAAAACCACAACAAACAAACAAAATTCAAACCAAAAAAAGAACTATAATTTAGTTTCTGTAGAAAAGTCAGGTGCTCCAATCACACTAAACTAGAATGCAAGCCCCTACCCCCAGGCATTCCCAGGTACCCCAACATTTGGAATGCAAAATTAGGATAAGACTCTACCTAGAGATTCCTTATGCTTATGGGGAACAACCACAATGACATCTTACCTGGGAGGTGAAGGGATAGGGCTGGAGTGGGGGTCAATGAGCTCAACTATCTCTTTAAGGGTGGGAAGCCCCAGGAGGTCTCTACTCATCACCTAGCATAATGGCTCCTACCTAGCCCCTGAGGGCATCTGGACAAAGCCCAGCCTAGCTGTGACTCTACAGCCTGAGATGAATTCTGGGTCTGGCAGGCTCTGCTAAAGTGAACGGGACACTAGGCTGCTCATGACAGCATGACAAGAGAAGGCCAGAAGGACCCTTGGAGAGTCTGGTCCACACCTACACCCAGAATCTATAGCCCTCCCTGCTCAGGCAGTTGCCTGGCACGGAAGGGAGAGGGACTCCTTGTCTCCTCACCTCTAATTCAGCCTCACGGTTCCTCTGCTGTTTTGAATACTTCAGGCCTAGACTCAAGCCCCACATCTTCATACCCCTGACTGCCTGGTAAGAACCCTGGGTCCCACAGTGGGCTCAAGGCCCTGTCAAGTACAGAGTTACTCTATCCTGTTTTCAGAATGAGCAAGACCTCAGTAAGTTCTTTCTTCCCATTCTGGGGAAGGTCCTTGGCATCTCAGTCCTCCTACAGCCAGCAGCCAAGCCAGGTCCAGCCTGCTGACCACACACACAGGCATGCAGGTATACAGGCACGCACATGCACGCGTATGCATGCACAGACACACACACAGACACATACAGACACACATGCACAGGCAACATAAATACATACCATAGGGCTCACCTGGCCCTTGCCACCTACCTAGCCCAGCACCCTGACAAGGCCCACTCAAAAGCTACACAGCCTCTAGGTACATGACCACAATACAGGGCTCTGCACAGCAGAGTGACCACTATCCCATCTGTAGGACTCCCATGAAGCTCCTTGTGAGTGGCTCATCCCATTCTTAGATGGAGAAACTGAGGTCTAAAGGGGGCTGGAAGCTAACACCCATCATTCCTATCCCAGAAAGCAAGTAGGTTTGGCCTCCATCCCTACCCCAGCCTGTGGGGACACTCACCGTCCTCAATGACAACTTTGATGAGTCGGATGGAGCCAGCCCGGGCCTTGGCAAAGAATTCCTTTAGCTCTTCAGTGGCTACAAGCACAAGAAACATAGTTGTTGGTGAGCAGGCACAGTGGATAGGGATGAGTCTGGGTCTGTTGGTGTCCCGTGGGGTCTGATGGCTAGGCTGGGAAGTGGGTTAAATATGGTTCCCCACATGTGACTGGGAACCTGAGACGGCCACTGAACATAAGCACCCAAATTTAGCTAGGAGGAGTGGCAGGCAGATGGCCCGCTGGCTGGGATAGCTCTGATGACAGGAAGGGCAGGCAGGAATGGGACAGTCCACTTGAAGATGGAACAGGGTCTAAGCCAAGGCAAGCTGGCCAGAATGAAGAGCACCCACTTGTCCCCTGACAATAGGATGATCCAGCAGTGTATGAACACTGGTCAATGTAAGTGGACACTCATTTAGAGATTTAAACACACACACGCACACACACACACACACACACACTCCCAGATTGCCAACACACACAGGCAACAGACACAACAACATCATGTCTACACCAGGTCTGCAGTCAAGACAGACAAAAATAGACAAACTATATATACACAGGTGTGCATGACACATGGATGCACTTGTAGTCCGAGCCCCCAGCCAGTTTGTACCAAAAGAGGGGCCCACCAGCCCCAACACAACCCTATCAAGGGGCAATGAAGCCCCAGATCCTAGGCAGTAAGGAAGGCTTCCTGGAGGAGGAGTGGTGCCTAGAAAGGAAATTGGACATTAGGCAGCACAGCTGGAAGGTCTTAATGTCCAAGGACACAGTGCCAAGGAGAGGACCATGGTCAGGGCTACAGGACCATGAGGCAGCTCAGCTCCACTAGTGGTAGTAGAGAGGGAAAACTCAGTGTGTAAGGGACCTGCTTGGGTCTCTGGGTGAGCGTGACCTTGGGGCTGCCAGGGGCCAGAAGAACCCCGGCAGGAACACAGCTGGAGAGTTGAGTTCACAGAATAATTATAGGTCTTGGCTTGGGCAACTGATGGGCAGCTTAGGGGCGGGGTGGAGGGGCTTTAGGTAAACAAACTCTCAGTCATGTCCTCAGATGCTCCCCTTTTCCCTGCAGAGTGACCTTATGCCTGAATCTCAGGTTGTATACCAGCCATGAAGGTCACTGTGTGGCCATGGGCCTAACAGGGCCCAACAATCCCTGGGGACAGAGAAGCATGGCTTGGGACTGTACACAAGGGAACATAGCCCCACTGGGCAGGAGATGCTTGAAGCTTTAGGCCAGATCTTTGGGGCCCCGGCTCCCTCTTAGCTGTGAGACTTCTGACCTCTCTGAACCTCAACTTCATCTACAAACTGAGATAATTCCCTCAAACTCAAAGGTTTGTGGTAAGGAGTCTATGGGAGAAGGTGCTAAGGAATGGAACTTCTGCTAACAATTATATTTTTGATCTAAGCGTGGCTGTGTTTTATTGCTCCTCCTACCTACCTAAACCTTGAAAGAGAGGCCAAGAAGCTCCCCAGAGGGAGGCTGACAAGCCCCTTCTACTGTTACCAGAGCAAACTGAAAAGCCAGTAGGGAAAGTAGCATCCCTTCCTACCCCACCCCAATGCCTCCCCAGTCACCATCAATAATCTAGAGACCAGACCTGGGACACCTGAGCCTCTGTCATCAAAGATTCATGCCTCCCTGCCCCCACCTTGCCCACCTCCAACTTCAGCGAGCTTCAGGTTACAGTTGTCAGGCCCCACTCTGAGGTCAGCAGGCCTGCTCCTATGGCCAGGCCAAGGCTGGCACCTGATCCTCCAGGGTGGTCTTCCTTAGTATCTCCAGAAGGCCCCAAATGGGAAGGTGTACACCCTCATAGACAGGATAGGGGAAAGTTCCCCTAGGTAGGCCTGTCCCACTGCATGAGATATAGTCCACCACAGGGTCGCCAGCACTGTGTCTGGGTGCTAGCATCCTAGCACCTCCTCCGGGCTGGAGGCAGCAGCTCAGACCAGACAAAGAGGAAGGAAGGGGCAGGCCAGGCGCAATTTCCCCCTGACAGTTCCCTACTTTGAGGCTGACTCAGGAAAACTGGCTCTCCATCTCCAGGAGAGGATGGCCCACCTGTGGGAAGCCAGGCCTGATCCAGGTCCCTGCATGCTTGGGATAAGCAAGATGGGGATGGGGTGGGGTCGGGGGAAAGCCTCTGAGGGCTATCCCTTCACCAATTAGCCACAACCGCAAGCAGGGATTCAGGCGGTCAGGCAGGTCGATGGTGGTAGCCCTGGGCAGATCATGATGTGGTGACAGAGGTGGCTGATGGCCAAACCAACAAGCCGTCTAGGCAAGCGGCCTGGCCTTCTCTACCGGCCAGGGAAGCAGCCCTTCCAAGTCAGTAATAGATGGGGACAGTGAGACCAGTAGAGCCAAAACACCTGGCTCCCAGCTATTGCTTCCATCTCAGTCTATCTAAGGAGGAAACTGGACCCTGGAGAGGAACTGTGGGTGTGACACATGGGCTGTAGAAGCTTCCTGTAGATGAGGGTGGAGGCAGGAGCTCTCCTAGAAAGCCTGAATCCTGACCCTCTTCCCTGCTTCCAGCTTGAAGTTGGGACTTTGGCAGTCCTGGCTGGAGCAGGAGATCACAGTGGAAAACACAAGAAACCAGAGGCCAAGGTCAGATGCACAGCTCTCCCCATTCTACTTAAGAAGCAGGGCTCTGTGCCAGCTGCTGTCCAGGCTAGTGGGAGACTATGGGGGTCCTGAAGGAGTAAAGGTCAGGATACCCTTTCCACACAGATACACAAGCCCATGCCAGTCATAAGACACCAGTGCAAGTATCCATGGTGACACACACACACACACACACTGAGATATGCCCAAACTGTGCACACATGCAGACACCCATAGATGTGTGCATGCTGCCCGGAAACACTGATGTCTGAGATGGTCCATGCCACCTACATTGTCCAAGACCAGCCACTAGTGCATGCACATGAAGGAGCCTGGATAGGCATAACCAAGCCGCATCCAGATGTGCACACACACACAGGACTGTATACAGAGGACGTGCGTGTACACTTTTCCAGATGTGCACATCCGGGTACACCCCACCTTCAAAAAAGAACAGAAATACCCAGACGGGTACACACAGGCACATCCGCCCCCAGATGAGTACACAAGATACTTCCAGCCTTGCTGTGTGCATCCATGTGCACCCACTCCCGGCTATGTACACCAGTCTGTACCCCCCCCAAGATGTGTCCATGCCAGGGACTCGCGGCTGCAAAGAAGAACAGGAAGCTTCCCCGGAGGGTGCGAGGAAGAGGAGGATGAAGGGGCCAAGCGCGCAGCCCTTGGGCCCCCTGTCCGCCCTCCATCCGTCCTCACCATGGATGCCGGTCTGGTGCGCCATGGCTCAGCGTTCCGCTCGCTCGTGCCGTCGGAGCGCTCCGCTTGGTCCTGGCCCGGCTCGACTCGGCTCGCCTGGACCCAGAGCTCCGGAGGATGTGGCGGCAGCGCCGAGCTTCGCGCAGCTTCCCGGGCGGTGCCGCAGGACCCGCCCCCAGCTCGCCCCGCCCCCGGAGGGCGAAGCCGGCAGAGGCGGGCGCTAGTGCCGCGCGTGCGCGGATCAGGCACCGGGGTCCGGATGGCTGGATTCTGTGTAGCTACCACCTAGATAGCACAGGAGGGGCCTGCGGGTGCCCGAGGCACCGGTGTGTGAGCGCTTACTGGCAGGCCCCCCTCCCGGAGGCCTGTGGGCGGATCCGCGCCTGGGCGAGGGCCGGGCTGTGCATTTGCTTAGGAGGAGGGTTGAGAGTGGGAGCCGATCCACGCGTACCCCCGTTTGTGACACGTGAGGGGATCTCAGCGTATGCGGCCACGCGCGCCTGTGTGGTCGTGTGTGTGTGTGGGTGTTGGGGAGGGGGGAGCGGTCTTGATCCGCAGGCCTTTCTTCAAAGGTGGAAACCTACCGGTCATCAGGTACACGGAGTATGTGGTGGCTGGAGCCATTCGCTGAGAAAGGGGCCGTAAGAAGAGGTGAATTTTGGATGGCATACGGTGACCCGGGTGACCCAGTGGAGTGGAGAAAAGTTTTCCAAAAAGCAGGTGCATATGCTGAGGCCCAGTGGTTCTAAGGACTGGGACTTAGTCCAAGAAACTTCCCAACTCCGAATGAACTTGTCTCCATTATCGGAGGCCTTTTCTGCTGTTAGTAAACAGTCATTTAGCAGCTAGTACTCTTAATTTTTTAAATAAAGATTTGTTTATTTAAATGAGTGCCCAATCTGCATGTACGACTTTATGTCAAAAGAGGGCATATGGGGCTGGAGAATTGGCTCAGCGGTTAAGAGCACTTCCAGAGGTCCTGAGTTCTTCCAGAGGTCCAGTTCTTCCAGAGGTCCTGAGTTCAATTCCCAGCAACCACATGGTGGCTCACAACCATCTATAATAAGATATTGTGCCCTCTTCTGGCGTGTAAGCATATATGCAGGCAAAATGTTGTATACATAATAAATAAATCTTTAAAAAAAAAAAAAAGAGGGCATATGATTCCACTAGAAATGGTTGTGAACCACCATGTGGTTGCTGAGAACTGAACTCAGGACCCCTGCCTGGACTGCTGAGTGGTTTCTACAGCCCCAGTGGCTAGTCCCCCCCCCCCTTTTTTAAGATTTATTTATTTATTATGTATACAACATTTTGCCTGCATATATGCTTACACGCCAGAAGAGGGCACAATATCTTATTATAGATGGTTGTGAGCCACCATGTGGTTGCTGGGAATTGAACTCAGGACCTCTGGAAGAGCAGTCAGTGCTTTAAACCTCTGAGCCATCTCTCCAGCCTCCTTGGCTAGTACTCTTAATCACTGAACCATCTCTCCAGTCCTGAAGCTTGTTATTTAAAAATAGATAAATGGAACTGGACAGATGTCTCAGAGGTTAAGAGCCCTTGCTGCCACTCTTGCATAAGACAATACCTAAACCTACGTGGAGCTCAGTTGCCAGCCAGCCCAGCTAAATGGAGAGCTCCAAGTTTAGTGAGAGAATATAAATAAATAAATAAATAAATAATAGAGGCAGATGGCTGCTGTCTGTCACTGGTTTTCACATTGTACCCAAATGCACATGTACACACAGTATGTGTATACACCACACACACACACACACAAAACAAAAGAGAAATGACAAGTCTGTGGGGAAACACAAGCAATAACTAGTTAAAAACGATGTCCCAGATCTGGCATACGGCTCAGCTACTAGAGCACTTTTCTGACATGCATGAAGTCCTAGGTTCCATCTCCAGCACGGCATAAACCAGGTGTGGTGACAAATAACCTTAATCCCAGCACTAGAGAGGTAAAAGCAGGTGGATCTCTGTGAATTCAAGGCCATTCTGGTACACACAGTGTGTTCCAGGCCAGCCAGGACTACATGGTTAGATTCTGCCTCAAAAATAAATAAATAAATGAAAAGAAAAAGTAAAAGGTTCAAGATTATCCCGGGCTACATAGTGAATTCCTGGCCAGCCTGGGCTACATGGAACCACGTCAATGAACAAGCAAGGGGTCAGGGAAAAAAAGTCAAATAAGTGAAAACTGAAGTGTATTTGGGATTTTATTTACCTGTAGGCAAAAATTTTAAAACTTTGGTAAGAATTGTGATGGTCAAGGATGGCTAAATAGGCTATGGGAGCATATGTAAAACAGTGTGATGACAGCTCTTGAGTGAGAAATCACCTAGAAGGAGAACCTTTGAGCTTGTATGAGGGCGTTTTTCAGAAGAGGAGAGAAGACCCGCCCTGAATGTGGGCAGCATCCTCTGGGCTGGGGGCTGATTAATTAGGGAGGAGTCACCTCTTCCTGGACACAGACACACTGTAACCAGTTAGTTGTTACCTTGCATATCTCAATGCCCTGCCTTACCAGTTTACCTGCGGCCCCTTACCAACGGACTAAACAAGCTCTTCCCATAGTTGCTTTTTGCAGATACTTTGTTACAGCAAGAACTAAAGAAACTAAGGCAAACCAAATGCACCAAATCATCATATTTATCCCCTCTTTTGTTGGAAGGGGAGGTGAGGTGGTGGGGTGTCTGGCTGTAACTTTCTCAGACTTTGTCCCCTCTCATACCTGGGTCAGGCACCACCTAGCAGAAACTTCCTGGCTCAACCTCAGGGCTCAACATTATCTCTGTGTTCCTATGCCCAGTGTGTGGCTGTTACTAGGTGGGCTCACTAGGTTAGTCCCCAAGTGACTGGGGTGCAGCCCTGTTTCCTAAGAATCCTCCTTGGGCAGGCAGAAATGCCAGCAGAGCAGGGCTGGTTAGCTGAGGGCAGTGAGGCCTACTGAGCACTGGGCTGGGTTTGGAGCAGAGGCAAAGGTAGGGAGAGCCTCATCCATCCATCCTTGGGCCTCAGAGATTTTTAATTGACTTCCTGGAGGAGAAAAGAGGAAGAGAAATCCTTTGAGGGTGGTCTGACTCAGCTGCATTGTCATACTGCAAACCCTGGGTATCTAATACTTCCCCTCTGTGGGCCAGAGCCCTCCCTTATGAAATGGAAATTGCAGAGGGGCACCAGGACTTAGGTGACAACAAGTGACAAGTGCTGTTAATGTGCAGATATAAAGGGGAACACTGCTGCTAACCTCCAACGGTGACATTCTGAGCCAGAGTGATGGCACTTGCCTGTAATTGTAGTATTTGGAAAGCAGAGTTTGAGGCCAGCCTGGTATACAAAACAAGTTCCAGGCTAGCCTGGGCTACATGGTAAGTGCCTGCCTCAAAATAACAGCAGATATCAGAGAAATTCATACACTTCCCTCAGTTCAAGGCTGAATCTTTAACAAGCTGGAGAAAGGAACTATGCCCCCCCCCCTTCAATTCCCATGGGTTCCTCTTGTCACTCACACTCCACGGAGAATCTTGTGCAGCCAGAGAGGCCATCTTGACTGCAGGGGCAGCCATTTGGGAGTGGGCTGCTGAGGATGAAGACCAGGGTGAACAGAACTCTGAGCACTCTGGGCTCTTAGTCAATGAATGTGTCATCTCACACCTCCAAGGACATACTGTCCTCCGCATCCCCTCCCCTTTCGTAAGACGGTGACTAGCAGTGGCTAGCAGTGCGAGACTGAGGCTTTGTGTGGCACTCGCCCAGCACCCGCTGTAGATGACTCCACGGTTCCCCTCTCAGAGGTTCGAGTCCCACAGGTGCGGGTGAGCCTTCGCGCCTGCTCAGTGCCGTTCTGACGCAGGCAGGCGGCTTCACCTCGCTAGAGAGGCCTCAGTTTTCCTGTCTGTAAAGTGGGGTGGGTGACTGCGTTTCCTTCTTACAGGTGATGATGGCTCTGCTCGCAGACCGCACAGCCTGGGGCGGGAGAACCAGGAGGAGGCGTGGCCCCCAAGGCTCCACCTCCAAGTCCCGCTTCCTCTCTGGAGCGGGCGGGACCCGGGCGTCCCGCTGTGTGCGGGCATCCCCGGCCACCACGCAATGTCCGCCGGCTGGTTCCGGCGCCGCTTCCTACCCGGGGGTCCCCCTCCCGCGCCCCCGC